GGGACAGGGACACATCACATTCCCTGGGGATGGGGACAGGGACACATCACATTCCCTGGGGACACAGGGACAGGGGGACAGGGACACATCACATTCCCTGGAGATGGGGACACAGGGGCAGGGACACATCACATTCCCTGGGGACACAGGGACACATCACATTCCCTGGGGATGGGGACAGGGACACGTCACATTTCATGGGGATGGGGGGACAGGGATACATCACATTTCATGGGGATGGGGACAGGGACACATCACATTCCCTGGGGATGGGGGGACAGGGACACGTCACATTCCCTGGGGATGGGGGGACAGGGACACGTCACATTCCTTGGGGATGGGGACAGGGACACATCACATTCCCTGGAGATGGGGACAGGGACACGTCACATTCCCTGGAGATGGGGGGACAGGGACACGTCACATTCCCTGGGGACACAGGGACAGGGGGACAGGGACACATCACATTCCCTGGGGATGGGGACAGGGACACGTCACATTCCCTGGGGATGGGGACACAGGGACAGGGACACGTCACATTCCCTGGGGATGGGGAGAGGGACACATCACATTTCATGGGGACACAGGGACAGGGACACGTCACATTCCCTGGGGACACAGGGACAGGGGGACAGGGACACGTCACATTCCCTGGGGATGGGGACAGGGACACATCACATTCCCTGGGGATGGGGAGAGGGACACGTCACATTCCCTGGGGATGGGGACACAGGGACAGGGGGACAGCCACACGTCACATTCCTTGGGGACAGGGACACGGGGACCTCCTGCCCTGTCCTTGTCCCCAGCCCTGTCCCCATTCCTGGTTTTGTCCCCAGTGCCATCCCTGACCCCTGTCCTTGTCCCAAACCCTATCCCTGACCCCGTTCCTGTCCCAGCTGTTCCAGGTGTGTCCCCAGGTGTGTCCCCAGTTACCCCCAGCTGCCCCAGGTGTGTCCCCAGCTGTCCCAATTCCCCCAGTTCCCCCGTACCTGGCGAGGTGCAGGTACCTGCCCATGGTGTGTCCCCAGTTCCCTCGGTCCCCCCAGTCACTCCCAGTTCCCCCGTACCTGGCCAGCTGCTGGTACCTGCCCACGGTGTATCCCCAGTTCCCCCAGCTGTCCCCAGTTCCCCCCAGTTCCCCCAGTCACTCCCAGTTCCCCATACCTGGCGAGCTGCTGGTATCTGCCCACGGTGTGTCCCCGGTTCCCCCAGTCACCCCCAGTTCCCCCAGTGCCCATACCTGGTGAGCTGGTGGTACCTGCCCACAGCGTGCCCCCAGTTACCCCCAGGTGTGTCCTCAGTTCCCCCAGTTCCCCCCAGTTCCCCCCATTCACTCCTAGTTCCCCCAGTTCCCCCAGTCCCCCCCATTACCCCAGTTCCCCCCATACCTGGCCAGCTGCTGATACCTGCCCACGGTGTGTTCCCAGTCCCCCCAGTCACTCCCAGTCCCCCCAGTGCCCCTACCTGGCCAGCTGGCAGTACCTGCCCACGGTGTGCCCCCAGTCCCCCCAGTCACTCCCAGTTCCCCCAGTTCCCCCGTACCTGGCCAGCTGCTGGTACCTGCCCACGGTGTGCCCCCAGTCCCCCCAGTCATCCCCAGTCCCCCCAGTCATTCCCAGTTCCCCCAGTTCCCCCAGTTCCCCCGTACCTGGCCAGCTGCTGGTACGGTGTGTCCCCAGTTCCCCCAGTCACTCCCAGTCCCCCCAGTCACCCCAGTTCCCCCAGTCACTCCCAGTCCCCCCAGTTCCCCCAGTCACTCCCAGTCCCCCCAGTCACTCCCAGTTCCCCCAGTGCCCATACCTGGCCAGCTGGCGGTACCTGCCCACGGTGTGCCCGTCCAGGGGCTCTGCCAGGCTCAGGCTCTGCTCGGGGCCGTGCCCGATGAAGTCGAAGCCCTCGGGCAGGAACACGAGCCGGGCCCCCCGGCCCGCGGCCTCCCGCACCAGCGCCGAGCACTGGCACCAGTTCTGCTCCTTGTCCGGGGTCGAGGTCACCTGGGCCACGGCCACCATGGCACGGGGGGGCACAGACATCCTGCTGGGGGGACAGGGGGCACCTCAGGGGGACTGGGGGTACATCAGCGGGCACCTCATGGGGACAGGGGTCACTCCAAAGGGATGGGGGCACCCCAAAGGGATGGGGGTCACTCCATGGGGACTTGGGTCACTCCAAGTGGACTGGGGTCACCCCACAGGGATGGGGGTCACCCCACAAGGACAGGGTTCACTCCTTGGGGACTGGGATCAACCCATGGGGATGGGAATCACCCCACAGGGACGGGGGTCACCCCACAGGGACTGGGGTCACCTCACAGGGTTGGGAGTCACCCCAAAGGGATGGGGGTCACTCCACGGGGACTGCGGTCACCCCACAGGGACAGGGGTCACTCCTTGGGGACAGGGGTCACCCAACAGGGATGGGGGTCATCCCACAGGGACTGTGGTCACCCCACAGGGAGCAGGATCACTCCATGGGGACTGGGGTCACTCCTTGGGAACTGGGGTCACCCCACGGGGACAGGAGTCACCTCCACAGGGATGGGGGTCACCCCACAGGGATGAAGGTCACTCTGTGGGGACTGGGATCAACCCATGGGGATGGGGATCACCCCACAGGGACTGGGGTCACCCCACAGGGATGGGGGTCACTCCATGGGCACTGGGATCACCCCATAGGGACAGGGGTCACCCCACAGGGATGGGGATCATCCCACAAGGATGGGGGGCACCCCATAGGGACAGGGGTCACCCCACACGGACTGGGGTCACTCCTTGGGGACTGGGGTCACCCCATGGGGACTGGGGTCACTCCATGGGGATGGGGGTCACCCCA